ACACACACACACACACACACACACACACAACACACACACACACACACCACACACACCACACACGACACACCACACAACACACACACACACAACACACACACACAAACTACACACACACACAACACATAGCTCTCCGGGACAATCAGTCGCCAAGGACAGTAATCTTAGGAGACTAACAGAAGAACACGACTGCGAAAAGGAACCTTGGTTATCCTTTGGGGGAGAGGGATCTGAACTCCTCGTAGGTGGGTTTTTATTTTTACAAGACGTGTTACACACATACACTCCAACACTGACACAGATAAATCCAAACACACGCCGAATATCGGTTACTTCGCGCCCCCTTAACACGATCATACTCCTACCAGTGACACATCGTCGTGATTTCGTTCTCCTCAGTTACCTCGCGAAGTCCGTCCCCCCCTGCACACACCCTCTGACCTTCACTAGGTCAACCCCAAAAAAAAAAATGTAGTCAACTTCCACGCCCGACGTCCTAGACGCTCCTGCCACCATTTTATCAAGTTCCATTACTCTAGATTTTGTGTCTTATCGGAAACTGTAACATACCTGCGACCGTTTGTGATCATTAACGTGGCATCGTCTGCTCGTACGTACGTGTCTTTGCTACATCATTTACCCGTGAAGAGAGTTGGTTCGACACTAGCTTACGGATCACGAAATGTGTATAAATACTGACCTTGATATTACTTACCGGTTGTTCCTCGCAGTGTTTCTCTACGTCAGACACGACGTAACTGTGTAGTCACGCTACTAGTCCGGGAGGATACGTCCCCCTTCTACCAGTGTACACTCGGAGTTGACCTCCTGACTTTTAGGACACTGCTTCTTCTCTTCCCTGAAAAAATTTTGGAGTAAGTACCTTAGGGAGTCAAATCTAATACATGAGCAGTAAGTGTGTTGGAATATAAGTGACACTTCACACCTTCCTATTCCACACAGTCTCCACTTCCCCAAGTCTCCTAAATCACCCCCGTCCTGTTCGTCCGCTTGGTGTTCGTAAATCCAAGAATTATCCTAACCTTCCTTGATTTTTATTTTGCCCAAAAGTGCGGTTCGGTGTTTAATTGTACGGGTCGTCCACGACAAAAACCATCCTCGAACATACAAAGGTACGATTAAAGGAAGAAAAAAAAAATCAACTTGCGAAAGACCCTAAAGGAGCATCTTTACACACGCGTAATAATCGTGGACATACAATTGACATACTCCTCGTCCCAACTACCGGGAGACACTACGTGTCTAGTATACTGTTATTGTGTGAAGAGGTCTGTCACACGTCGTCGTGTCTCTACGGGTGTCACAAAGTCTTTGTTATGACTCACTCTTACGAGGACGCGACAACGTGTGACGAGCTAGTGGATCTCTGAGTCCACATAGAGGCAGACAATACATGCCGAGACAATTGTGTCCTAGATAACACTCACACACCCTATCAGCACGACATCTCCAAACCATCCGTCTGGCCGATTCTGTCGGTGTCCCGTGGGTCCGACGTGTGTGTACATGTTCATATTTGTGTGTGGTCGAGGCACACACACACACACACACACACACACACACACACACACACAAACACTAGGGTTAACACACAACAAACGGAGATGAATGTCATTATCCTTCTGCGGTTGAAGAATGCGTGCACTTTTAATGTGTATGTTTGTTCTTGTATGTGTCTTTGTCGTTGTCACCATAAATCTTAGCATGTTCAGTCACAGGGACTCAAACAGGGATTTGGGAGATTCCTCATTTTCCAACAGGCTAAAGAACACAGAAACCAACAACATGCTCGTAAATCACTACGTTCAACGCTTTAGTACTGAACTAAAAACAGGCTAATAGGATTATCCAAAAGCTGTCACTGTAACATGATGACCCCCCTCTCAGAGCACCCCTGTTACACTGCACTGTCTGTCATGTGACATATTAATTGGTCATAAAGCGCACACATATCTTATAATAGGTGCATTGTTTTGTTTTCCTAATTCCAAACAAGTTGTGTGTGAGAGTTTTGAGTTATCTCACTGACAGTATGTGAAAACTAATTAGGGTCTGAGACCAGAGGGCGGCTAAGACTAACGCTCCGGCACTAAACAGTTCTACGTCAAATCTGAGGTCCCATCATATGACGTTTCCATGGCAACGCATCCCTCGCCATAAAACATAATGTTGTCGTAACTCAATGGACCCAGATTTCACATGATGGTTAATGGTTCGGCCCTCAACACGTCGATATAACAATACTGAGTTTTCCTGAAACGCTGTTGCCATGGCAATGCATCATAAAACACGATCTTGCTATAACTCCTGTGTAAATCGTTAAAAAGTGCTCAAACTTCACGTGCAATGCTAACAGTCCAGCCGTGAAGACATCTAAGTGTCAGTTTTGAGATTTCATAATATGCCGTTTCCATGGCAACACAATGCCATGAAACAAGGTTGAACTCCAGTGAACAGGCTCCAAGCGGGCCAAAACGTCTCTCAAGACATCTAAGCCTATTATGGGGTGTCATCTTATCTCGTTGCCATGGCGAAACATAACCGCCATGAAACACGATGTTGCTGTAACTCCCATGTACATTGCCCGATCGGCCCGAAACTTCCCACGTTTTCTTACGGCCGAGTCCGGACACGTTGACGTGCGGACAACAGCGAACCATGCGTGGATCGTTGAAGACCCGCTCATCGCTGCTCATAGCTGCTTATAGCTGCTCATAGCTGCTCATAGCTTTAATTATATATAATAATACATTACCACTATATATTATTGGAATTTTTGGTCCACTTTACTGTTCCTTGAGCCAGGTTGTGACACCTTGTATTCATGATTTTCCAAATTTGATTTATTTTAATATATTTCTTCTTTTATACTTCATTAACCATTTTTTAAGGATATTTATTCATTTATTTGGTCAACAATGGAGTTATATTGCAAATAGGAAAAATAAATATCAGGCACACAATAATTATTATTTGGTTTGAGGGCTTTTGGATTTTTAGAGGACAATTAAAAAAACTTTTTCTCTGAGGTATATTATTAGATCTTTGATCCTATCTACACTTCCTTCCTAAATAAGAACAACTTTACTAACTGACTAAATATCATAGTGTGATAAGATGTGTATAAGATGCTTATTTATAATGTTTTTCAATGGTCATGTGTGTTTGCTGTGTGTTCGAAAGGCAGGGTGATTGTTATGCAGCATACTCCATTGCCTATATAATAGTAACCAATGTTAGACGTAGTCTCGTCTGAGTGGAAATGATAAATGTTAATGAGAGAGCAGGGAGGTTTTGTCCGTTCTGTCAGAGGAAATCATTTGTATGTAAACATGGTTTATCTTATTAGTCATCATATTGTTTCTGTTGACCTCCTCTCTCTGCCCACTGTGATGTTATTTTGACCGCCCCCTCCTAAGCTCTGTCATTATTCTCCTGTTTGTTTGTAGCCTTTATTTAACCAGGTGAAAATCCCATTGAGATGAACGATCTCTTTTTCAAGGGAGACCTGCAGCACATTGGTTGCACATATAAACAACAGAAAACAAAAAGGACATCAATACAACATAATTACAGGGGTATACATTA